TATAGGTACAGAAACAGGACTTCATCTCAACTAAGGGAGAACAGAATCGCTTCTGCCAATCACTTAGCAAAACTAGTGTGAGTTAGATTCTTACATTCCTCATCAGAATTGTATGGAAATTTCAGAAGTGAAGCAAAAATTTCACTAACCACATAAGTAAATACTACTTTCTACAAAAGTTTTTATTTTATTTTTTTTTTTTTTAATTTTTATTTTTTTTTTGGTCTTTTTGAGACAAGGTCTCGATATGCAGCTCAAGCTGGCCTTGAGCTCACTTTGTAGCCCAGGCTGGTCTCGAACTCGGAACGATCCTCCTGCCTCAGCCTCCCGAGTGCTGGGATTACAGGCGTGCGCCACCACGCCCGGCTTCTACAAAAGTTTTTAAATGCATAGGGCAATTATCAACTTTCAGTCTTTGAATTCATTAACATTTATTAAGTGCTTGTTGTAGACCAGATTTTGGATGCTAAGAGTCCAAAAAAAGGAACTTGGGTGATTTACATAACATATTAATCTGTCTCTCTCTTGTTTTGGTACTGGGAATCGAACTCAGGACCTTCCGCTTGCCAGGTAGGTGCTTGTGCGGCTGAGCTATATCCCTGGCCAAGATTAATTTCTTAAAGAGCTATTGGTGCCATATTTTGAGCATCAAATTTGCTACAAGGGTGTTAAATTTGTGCCATTAGAGCTTTATTCCTTTTGCGTTTTAAAATATACTCTTATAACAAATATACTTGGCACATAGTACATTTTTAAATAAAGCTGCTATCAGTAGTGAGCAGGGTAGAAGGAAACACATTGTAATCACGAAATGTTTTGCTGAAGTGCATGACTTGTTTTTCATATCTTCGAGTAGACGCTTATCATTTAAGAGCCAAAGCTGGAAACTTTGGAAATTTTCACTGGAAATTTTGTTCAATAATCATATTCTCAAGATAAAATACCATTTGAATTTGATAATTTATTTCTGTGCAGATGGCAAAGCATTTGAACTAGAGAGCAATGGCATTTAAACATGGTCATCTTTATTTTATTGGTTATTCATGTTTACACTGTACATAGCATCAATTAAAAATATATACAGCACAAACCTACAAATAATATTTTATGATTGACTTCACCTCCTGACTATTTATTTGGTATTCACCTATGCAAAACAGCTTCATAAAGGAGTCCAAAACGTTGACAGCAGTTTAAAAAAGTCTTAAAAAAATGTGTCAGAGTAAGTAAAAGCCAGTGGTTCCTTGTAATTGACCTTTTTTGAAAACTGGAAGTTATCTGGGAAACATCATGATGAAAGCCAGTCTAAGGCAGAGTTCAGCTACAGAACTTAATGCCTTGTGCATATACACATGTGTTTCTCATCCACAGTAGGCTGAAGCACCATGGGTACCAACTGACTGGCAGAGTCTGCGCACGCACGACAGTAGGCCCAGGTGCTTCCACTTATGCTCGCACTGAGTCCAAGAACACGTCTGTGCTCGCATGTTGGGCCCTGCCCTTAGCCACTTCCATCGTTTGGATGAAAGGAAGCAAGAAGTGGGATCTGACCTAGTTATGCTTGGAAGAGCTCTCCATTAAATGAGACGTTGTGTATGAAGTGCCTGGCAAATAAAAAGGCCCTGGTACGCATCAGCTTTTTAAAAATTCTGCACTTGCATTGGTTGGAACCCAAAAGTAGCAGGGAAAGCTGCATTTTCAACCTTGGGTAGGCCTGTTTGCAGCCATTTTATTCAAGCATTACAGGAGACAGAGTGGCATTGCCTTGTGGTTCGTGGGATAAGAGGGAAGTCGGAGCTAACTAATTCTGCCATGTTCCCTTGGTGCAGTCCTGAGCGCCCTTTAAAATTAGCAGTCCTGGGTAGACTTCCCATAATCTTATCAGACTGTAAACTAGATGTACGGTCTGCATGCTTTTCCTAGGTAGAGGGGAAAAGGAGTGGGGTAAATGAATGGGGTACATGACGATGTCCTGCTGAATAAATATCTTAGGTAAATTCCTGACGATAACAAAAGCACGGTGAATATATCCTTATAAACCAACACAAAGGTCTACAGGCCCTGTAGAAAGCTGTAGTCCTTTTCAGACACTCTAAAAACTGGAGAGCATTTTTTTCTTTCGGGGGTCACTGTCCCACCAGCTAAACACAATAAAGGGTCAGTTGTGAGGAACTTTGGTTATTAATGTGTTGTTTTAAAAACTCACATTAAAAGCGAGACTTCAGTGACTAAAAACTAAGACCATCAGGTGGATTATAGGGTTATAGCTCAATGGTATAGCCTATTCCTAGCGGATATGGGAGCCCTGGAGTTGATCCCCAGCACCAGAAAAAAAAAATTAAGATCAAGATAACACAAAATTTCATTCAACACGTGCCCAATGTTGGGAATATTTTAAACTGCATTTCCATTCTAGAGTGGGTAGTAATGGAGTGAGGAAAAAGAAGGGAAAAGGTGAGAAACTCGGAAAGCGATAAAGGGAAAGACTGAGATCAGCAGAGAACCCAGCAGGGAGGGACAGGACAGATTTGGCATTTTTAAAAAATTTATTTTATAATACTCCTGTAACATTTCATCTTTTTCAGGAATTATATTTTTTCTTGCTGTCCTTTAAAAAAAGAGTACTTATTATTACTTACATGCTCTTTTTCCCTTGAAAATTTTATTGGGTCTTGTTATGGTTTGTGTCTAGGCGTCCCCCAAAGCCTCATGTGGTCATGGGGGTACGCTTTTTGGACATGGCTGAATCTAGAGGCTGTGACTGATTCATGGTGGAATGGTGGGATTAAGGGTGTGAGTGCTACACCTGCCCTAGAGTGGGTAACCTGCATCCAATATAAGGCAGGAAAAGAGGCTAGTCTCTCCCTCCTCTCTTGTTGCTTTTGCTGTCTTCTGCCACGTGCCACCCTGCCTTGGAATCAACTAATTATAGACGGAAACCTCTACAAACTGTGAGCTAAATAAACTTTTCCTCTTTTAACTTTGGGTGTTGGGTATTTTGTCCGGGTAATGAGAAAAGTAACTAAGACAGGTCTGTCACTGTCCAACTTAATTTTTTTACAGTGGTGAAAATGTTCTGTATCTGTGCTGTCTTACATGGTAGCCTCACATGACTACTGAGTACATGAAATGTGCTACTGTAATATAGCAATGGAATTTTAAGATTTTTGTCAAAATTAAATAATCACATATGACTATGGTTGGACAGGATAAGTGTAAGGGACATTTACAGTGGAAAAGAAATTGGTTTTAAGACATTATGCGGATAAATAAGCACTAAATTAAGTGAGAGTGAATTATAGTCTTCCAGCTGATATTCTTCCTTCCCTAAAGTGTTTTCTTTCCTTATCGTATACACAAAGTACTCAACAAGTAGTACTCTTGCTAGTAGTTACTACAGTCACGCACTGCATAACAAGGTTTTGATCAGTGATGGACCACTGTTGATCTAGGCATGCAAGTACATGTCCGCAATTCCAGCTACCTCAGAGGCTGAGGCAGGAAGACTGAAGGTTTGAAGCCAGCCTGAGCAACTTAGCAAGACCCTGTCTCAAGTTAAACTCAGAAGCGGGGTGTAGCCCAGGGGTCCCTGGGTTAAATATCCAGTGAAATAATAAACACATACATAAATATCAAACAAAATAAAGGTGTAGAAATATTTTCATCACTATTGATGCCCGCCTCCTGCTTCAATCTTGAGTAGCTGGGATTTTTTAAAAAAATCATTTAGAGTATACTCGTTATACTTATAAAAATTTTATTATGAAACAGAATGCTGTGTTACTTAGGGAACAGCCTCATACATTTTGAGTTTGCCATCTCTTGATTGCATAATTATTTCTTGCAGTTGACATAATCTCATGTTGTTCTGTTCATTATGTCTCCAGGAGCAATAGGGAATTACATATACATATAAATTCAGTAAGGAATTGCATATACATATACACACATATATACGCTGTGTAGTCATGTGTGTAATAGACATCTAGACTAGGTTTGCATAAGCACACTCTATGATGTTTGAAAAATAAAATCTCTGGTTAAGTGAAGCATGACTGTATTACTAAAGCTAGTCTCAAAACGCAATGATCTTGCTTTAGGCATATGCTCAATGTATTTGGATGAACTGCCCTTTGTGTGTTATATCTAAACACCCATTATTACAAAATAAGCGAAGTCTTACATTCACTGCCTTTTAAAGAAATAGTATGAGGATGAAGAAAATTATTTGTGCTTCTTATAAGCATACTGTTCTTGGCCACTTGATCTACAGTTTCTGTCTCTTAATTTTGTCTTCAGTCCTTTAATTACTGCCTATCTTTTCCAGGTGAATCCTCTTTGAGGGGGTAGAAACAAAGTCAATGGCAGATGCTGGGGTAAAACTCAGTCAGGTTAAGTGCATCTTAACGGTACATCTACCTCCTAGATTTTTAGTAACCTGAGCAAGAAGGCTTTTAGGAAGTGGTCAGGACTTTGCGCTGTCACGTTTATTAATAAGCCGCTATCAGGAGTTTGAGTGCTGCACCAGTATCTCTGCATCATTTGATCACTTCCCTCTACAGGGGCTATCCATTTTCTTCAGTAACAATTAGCATTTCTCCTCCTGGGAAACTGTGAATGTTTTCTTTGGTTCTTGGAAGAACTGCATTTTGGACCTCATATATCCTCAAAAACGAGAGATGTGGAACGTGGATGAATCACCGTTTAATCCTATCAGTGACAGCTCCTGCCTTGGTTACGCACAGAGCATCACCCTATTGTAGTAGGCACCCCTTGTTGCATAGTAGGTCATCAATAAATGATAAATGCATGAATGGAGAAAGTCTCCTGTAAAGGGGGTCGGCCTTCCAAAAGTGTGTACTAGGGTACCTCAAAAATACGTTTTAAACTAAGCCCTTCACCTTCACTACTTTTGGACTAGGGTAAAAATTTTACCCACACCGCTGTACTTCCAGGGACCTCTACGTCCAATGACCTTTACAGGAATCTTTTCTCTCTCCGCTCAAAAACGATCAATTGCCTGCTGTGTCAGCCGCACGGCTGCAGGCTGAAGGGTAGGGCTCCAAGCCCCCACGCCGCCTTCGCAGCGTTTCTCTCCAACTTTAGCAGCCTCCAGGACTCCTGCCGCCCGGGAGTCCAGCCGTGCCCCCGCTCCCCGCGTCAGCACCCGCGGTACACGAGCCCACTCCGGCGACCCCAGCGCCACAAGCCTAAGCGGGAGGCGAAAGAGCTCTACTTCCGCGTCGGCGAGCAGCGTGGGCCGTGACGTCGCCGCGCCCTGACGTCAGGCTGACGTGCAGCGCGGTCACCCGGGAGACCGGGAAAGCCGTTCGCACCCGGCGGAGTCCAGGGCTAGGTGAGAGACAATGGTTTCCCTCAGCCCCTAGACGAGCTGGTCCGCCCGGACGCAGTTCCGGAGCGGAGGCGTGCGGGCTCCCGGCTGGGCGCCGCCCGGGAACGCGAGGCTCTGCCTCCTCACCCCCCTCCCGCTACCTTCCGGCCGGGTCGGTCCCGAGGGAGCGGGGTTACAGGGGAGCGGATTTCAAAGCGCTTCTCCAGCCTGGTCTGGCCTTGCAGTTGGTTTCTATTTGGAAATTCCCGCCGCTTCAGGAAGGTCTTAGAACGTGAACTCCGCTTCCCCTGTCCCTGACTGCTCACTGCGGGTGATTCACGCCAAGGGAATGGCTCTTTACGAAAGGGCCTGACAGCTGAACGCCGGTGAATGACCCGACGTGACACGGTGCGAGGAAGGGAATCGGAAGTGAACAATCAAGGGTGTTTCTGCAGTGAAACAAAGAAGTCTTTCTCGTGATCGTGTCAGAGAGCACGCTCACAAACGCCGACGGAACTGTGGCCACGTATCACCTCTCCTCGTGCCAAAGGGCAGTCTTCCGTGTGTGTTGTAAAAGATCACGAGGAGTTTGTTTGATAAAACGCTCATGTAAGAGTACATTAAAAGTTGCAATTTTCCCTGTTTCCTAACTGGAAAGAGCCCTCCCGGTCTTGAAGAACCGAGTATTTGCGAAAGCTTCTATTCCTTTTCATAGGTATGCAGACCTTTGTAAAAGACCCAGGAATGTCATTTCTCCCAAATGTAAACGTCGGGGGAGGGCAGTAAACATCGTCACTGGGGAAGTTTAGCCTAGGCGCCCTAGTCATAACCAACTGCTTGCGGTCCTTAGTGGAAGGCAACTAGCTAACACAGGTGGTTACCCCGAGGACCGGGTGAATGTAAGATGAACTGTAAAAGAATGTACTGCATAGCAAACTGTGCTGCGGTCTTACACGATGGCAAGTTACCCATTGTCTTGTGACATGTCTCTAATGAGTACATACTCGAGTCTTCTTGGTTGTGTAAAATGGGATTTCTTTATAATCTAGTGAGCAGATTGGTGTGGTATGCATCAAAATCTAGTTCAGTATTCCAGTTTTTTTCTTTCTACATGTAGCGAGATTTCTAACAACAGAATAATTTCTAATTTTTGCTGAATAATCAGAACCTGTCAATTCCTCCTGTTGGTATAGTAAGGTCATAAATTGGAAGGGTCTCTCGGACAGTGAAGGTAGTAAATAAAAATTGTTACGGTGGTGCTTTGTTTGGGTCATCACTCTGATCCATGCTCTGAAATACTTTTAGAGGTGATACTTTTTAGGTGAGATTTAGTTGGTAATTTCAGAAAAAATAAGAATTAAAAATGTTACTTTTTATTTTACCAGCGATGAGTCCACTATAAAATGGCAGCTGTGAGAACAATGAGCCTTCTGGTGTCTTGCCACATGACTGACAGTCTGCCACACATCCGATCACGTGATTGACCCTTTGAGCCCATTGGACATAGTTAATTTTACCCCGGTGGTTGGCTTCAATTAGCTTTACCAAACACACATCATATTATGTTTATGTGGGATAACAGTTCATTAGTTATTTTTGTTTTTGTTTCTTTGAGACCCAGACTCACTCTAATTCAGGCTGGGCCTGAGCTATGTAGCTGGCCTTGAACATTCGGAGATCGTCTTGCCTCAGCTTCCCTAGTGTGAGGGCCTGAGCCACCAGGCCCAGTCAGTTGTTTTAAAGGTGACTCGCTGAAGTCGCTAACACAGTGGATGAAGACTCCTGTCTTCCACCAGTGGTTGCACACTTTACAGATGTAATGCCTTTATAGGGTTTTGTTTGGTTTGGTTTTGTAACTCCAGTTTCCCTGCCACCTTTACTGTGGCTGGGGTTGGTGTCTCTCATAGACTCCTGTGGATCCCCTATCTCTTCTGCTCTGACCAAATGCATATGCTCAGGAAGCCTTCAGTAATTCCACACTGCCACCTGGAAGACAGGCAGTTTTCTTTTCTGAACTCTTGAACTGCTGTATAACTCTTCGCTCTCAGGCTTTATTTCCTGCTCTGGAACTATGTGCTTATGTCATCTCATTCAGCTGCACACCCTCCGCAGCACTCCAGTCTATGTAAACATTCTTCCCTCATGAAACCACACTGGATATTCTTCATATTCAGGAAAACGTAAAAACAAAAATGAAAACTCTGAAGTCCTCCTTCATCCACCCTCTGGTTTTATGAAAGTAGTGATAGAGTTTCATATGCAGTTATTTTTATTAGAAAATGAAAATCTGTGAAATAAACATCAGTTGAAACAATTACCACCATTCATTTAGTGCTCCTAGGAATTTATAAATCATCTTAATTTGAATTTTCTTCACATGTTTTCAATGCTAACGATTGCCTTCAATGTTTGTAGATTATTTTGCTTCAGGGCTCTCTCAATATTTTGGGAAAGTATGGATCGTCACATTCCCATGCATGCTTTACCTGAAGAAATCCAAAAGGTATGACATTACATTGTATTATTATAGTATAATATTAAGAACAGTTTAGCGGTTTGACAATTCTAAAACATAGGGGAGTAAATTTAGCGGTTTTACATTTATTTCAGTCATAGACTATGCAGTGAACTGGTAGAATGGGAGAGGTAATAATCACAATGGACCGAATTGTGGAGTTCAATGCAAAGAATATTTATTCCTGGGAAAGAAGACAGATATAATTCCCACAGAGTATTTGACCTGGTAGTTACGGAGGCCTAGTGAAAAGAAGAATCTAGAATCCTTTGTGGTGGGAAATTTCTCTCTCTACTGGCATAAGTACTTTCAATTATGTCAGTTCTCTCCAGGCACTTTTTAAGCCCTTTATATAAATCAACTCATTTAATCTGGCTAAAAATCTTTATAGTTTCTATGCCTCTCCCCTCACTGTTAATTTACATCTGTCTTTGGGCAAAAGCATTTTTTCCATATTTAGTTTGGTTATCCATACATGGTTATTAAAATAAATTTAAAATATCTCTTTGAAAATGATTGATTTAAATGGTGAGATAAAACCCAAACCTTACTTATTAATCATTCAGTTTTTTCAGTAATTCTACCAGTAATTCATAATTAACCACTAATTTGTTGAATTATAATTAAAAAATTATAGTCACCCTTCAGATAGACTTGTGCATCTTGCTTTGGGCTGCCTATTAGCATTAAATATTTAACTTGATCCTTATTCTTAGAGCCTGTCCTTCACATTTATGTCAACTGCAACTTAAGAGGAACCATAAGGGAAATCTAGTTACCAGAAAAGATCTTTTAAATCATTGCATCTAATTTCTGTACCTTTGAAGTGTAAACTAGTAAAAACCAACAGTTCTCAGCTGTACTTATTTATACTCACCTGAGAAATGGTGCTTATGTGTGTTTGAAGACGTGGGATGTCCTTCTCACCTGAACTGAGTTCCTTCCATGTAGTGGTCTAATTCTGATAGAAATTAAAAGAAACAGAACAAAACAAAAATATCTACAAGAAACCATACCTGCACTTCAGTTCCTAATCATCTGTCAAGAAGGAGATATAAAATGACATTTTAAAACCAAACACCTCTCACGATAGTGTGATTTAAGTTCCATGTAAGATAGTATCTGGGGTGAGAATGGAGAAGGTGGAGAGAGAATTCCTAGATGTCGGGATGTCAGAGGGGTTTCTGCAGGAGGTGAGGTGCAGGTGGCTGGTGAAGGCTGAGCGTTTCTATAGATGGAGGATAAAGCAGCCTAATCCAAGGGAACAGAAGCTTCCTAGTCAGAAAAAGCTGCACGATGTTTAACAGCTTTAGTATTTCAAATACATAAAGTAGGTATTTCTTTTGATAAAGTTTTCATGAGAGTTGCAGAATTTTTTTTCTCATATTTGAGGTACTTTAGATGTAAATTGTTTAAAAAATGCTAACACAAGTGTTTCGTAAATCTGCAGTTATATTCTGAAGTGGGAAAGGCAGGCAGTTGTCCAAGCAGCAGTGAAAATGGCCGGATAGGTTCAACTGCTGTAATGCCTAGACAAGTGTCCTGCTCGTAGCCCTTTTCCCACCCAATGTTTAGACTGTAAAGTACAGTTTTGTACTTTTTAAGACCTAACTTACGTACTTTTCCACACAAAATAATGATTATACCTATTATACCATCGCTCTGTATGCTTGAGTATAAAGCTACCACAATGTACATATACATCCCTAAGCTTCTACAGCAGTCATTTAAATAAATTTTGTTTTCTGTAACTTCTTACTTGTGTTTGATTTATCTACATTGTCTATAGGTTAACTTATTTGTTTAGTAATCAAACAGTACACGTATGTACTGCATATATTACTCTATGCAGAATTATATTATAGGTATGGGTATTTATGTTGAGCATACCTAATCTGAAATCCAAAATGCTCCAAAATCTGAAACTTTCAGCACCAACCTGATACTGCAAAGGGAAATTTCACAATGCCAAAATTTTGTTTCATTTGCATCTTTATTAAAAATATTATGAGGCTATGCATATAACGCATGTATGAAACATAAATGAATCCTATGTTTAGACTTAGGCACTAGCCCCAAGGTTTCTCATTATGTATTTGCAAGTATTCGAAAATCTGAAAAAGACCTGAAATCTGAAATGCTTTCAATCCTAAGCATTTCACAAAAGGGATAATCAGCGTGTATAATTTGTAGTGTAACAAGAATAGTTCAGAGTAGAGCCAATTCACTTTTAAGGTGAAGGGAAAAAAAGATTTTTTTAAATAATGGCTTGGAAAATGTTCTCCATTTCTTTACAGAGAAAAAAAGGACTTGAGGTGGGTGGATCAGTGTATAGAGACAGAGGTCTTTCAAAGGCTTTTTTCCCCCAGCTTTCTTGTTCTTCTGTTAACTTTTTGTGTTACTTTACATGCTGTGGCTCCCTTTTCTAGAGAAGCTCCTGCTGCGTTTCCTTTTTTTCTGTATAGACAAGGAAAGTCATTGTAGAAATCAGAGAGGAGAAGGTGAGGAGGCCCTTTCTTATTTCCTCCTTTCTACACTTTTGCTATGTGATATGGAAATGAATGACACATTAGAATGTGAAAACGACTGTAGCCGACGCTGTCCTGTTAAAGACAGAATGAGTGGTAGTAAAGAGAGTTGCGAGAAAATATTAAGGAAGTGAGCGAGATGGCCACCAAAGACCAAGCATGGAGAATGGTGATGATATCAAAGTGTAGCTGAGGCAGACAAGTGACCTCTTTTTCCTGTGACAGCTGAAGCAGGAGAGGTCAGGTTCAGCACATGGCTGTCACACCCTCTGCCTGGCTTCCCTTCACTCCCCCTCAGTCCCTGAGGATGGGCTGGGACAGCTTTCCTCAGTATCGCGCTGCCACCCGTCAGTTGCTCTCTGTGCTCTTCTGACAGGAGGTGCCGCTGAGGTGACTGTCATGGTACCCTGTCAGATGCTCCTGCCACCTCTCTGAAGAATGGCCAGAAAACTGCCGCTCATGTGGCAGAGATCCGGGAAGGATCCATTATTGACATAACATCCCCAAACTTCAGGAAACCGTGATTAACATAGCTAGGCTTCCTAGAGATTACTGCTTTTACCCCACCATTTTTGTCAGTTAAGCAGCTGCTTCTCTTGAAGTTCCCTGAACTGCTGCCATGACAACTGCAGCTGCCCTGTGGGAAGTGTCTACCCAGACCACAGTAGGCTTGAAGGTGAAGCAAGCAGCAGGCTCCAATCAGAAGCCTTGAACTTAGACCGTTTTAGACCAATCAGCAGGCTCAAATTTGGACCAATTGACAGGCCTGCTGCTGCTATATAAGCAATGCTACCGGCAAGTTTCTTGGGTTGAGCTAGGAGAGCTCTTTATGGTAAGCTGACCGGACCTATGGCACAGGCACAGGCCCTCATCCTGGTGGTCCTGTGAATCTGGTCATGCTTTATTTCTCAAGTAGTGTAGACTCTGAAGGCCTTATAAATCTTGATATTCCTATCCCAGGTAGTGTGGACGGAGCAGTTGCTTTAAAAAAGAACTATAAACACAAGAGGCTGATAGCCCTGGAGAGCTCCAGCGGCAAGCAGCTGACAAAGAGCCTCGGTACTGACCACAGCAGTGTCCAGCAGTGACAGCAACCAGCAACCAGCGATGTTGACTGGTGGTGTCAGGCATTGACTGGCAGCGATGTCTGGTAGCAACAAAGACTAGTGGCACCTCCAGTGGCACCAGTTGGCAATCTCGGACCCAGAGCTGTAGCACTAAGACATTTGGAGCCCCAGAAGGCTGAGGGCCATTGCCACTCGAAGGCTGTAGCCACTAGCAGAGCTGCACTGGCCCATCTGTGATTGCTGCATAAACCGAGCAGGGGAACCCGCAACTGATTATTGATGTTGAATCCGTTGTCTGTAGAAGGTGAAGATTATGAAGTCATCTCCTGGTCTCATCTCCCGAGGGGCTCTAAGATAATCTTCGACTTTCGTGTCTTTTTGCTTTTTTTTTTTTTTTTTCTTTTTCTCTGTAGTAGGAAATGAACCCAAGACCTTCACACTGAGCCTTCACACTGAGCTACATCCCCAATCCTTTATTTTATATTTTGAGACAGTCTAGGTACGTTGCCCAGGCTGGACTTTAATTTGCAATCCTTTTGCTTGAGCTTCCCAGATTGCCAGGAATACAGGTATGCACCACAATGCCCAGCTTTGCTTTGCTTTTTATCGCAATTTTTTTTTTTATTTTTTTAGACAGGGTCTTGCTATGTAGTACAGGCTGGCCTAAAACTCACTGTGTAGCCTATGCTGGCCTCAGACTCAGCCTCCTAAGTGCTGAGATTTCATGGAGCTCCACAGCCAGCTTTATCACAGTGTTTAACTGAGCACAGAGTACAGTACTTCTCAGACTGCATGTCCTAAAGTGACGGAAATGTAAAAGAGCCTGTGGGCTGGACAGAAAGACCACCCTTTGTCACCTGCTGGGCTCTGTGTTTTACTTGGGTATGTACTTAGACCGTAGTTCTAAATCTGCTTTTGCTCTGTGCTAAACTGATTTCGACCTATCTCTGATTACCGCTAACTAACAGTGGTGCTAGAATTTTCATCCACTATTGTAAGACAGAGTGCGGTACAGTTCTGCAGTTCTGTGTTTGGGGTTTTTCTTTTTTTGGACACAGTTTAGAACTAAAAAAAATTTATAGGTTAGCAAAGTAGTAATTCTATACTTTTCCCCTTTATGAATATCAATCCATTTTAGAAGTATATTGGATCTCTAGAAGGAAAAACTGAGCATTTTTTCCCTTTTGCTGGATTTGCTGGGATCATACGGATACATCAGAACAACAGCGACAAAGTAGTAGAAAAATCAGTTTGCACAAAAATTGATAGCTTGTTTTTTCACAATGGTGATAAAGTGAAGACTTGTTACAGGATTTTAGCTTCGGGAGATCTTTATTACCACAGGACACAAGGTAAAATAAAGAGATCAGAGTTGTTTATTTTGCAAAGCAGA